CCGGGCCCCCCCCCCTCGTGGAATGAATATGCCAAGAAACAACTTGACCAATCTCGCAGACAGGCAAACAAGCTCTCAGCGCGCGATGCTATGATTTTTCAGGGGTGACGCCCGCTGTGCTACTTGAGCGCGTCCTGGGGCATGCCAGCGGCCACTTTTGGAACCCCTGAACCAACATGAATTTTGGACCCCCCCCCACCCTGAAGCTCAGAAGAGAAAAGGTTCCCATACCACTGGCCTCCGCCCGTTTCCCCTCTTTGGACCCCCTCGGAGGCCCTCGTCGCCTCCGTTGGATTCGCCTCGAAATTCTGGTCAGAACGCACCCCAGGGAGAGGTCCGGGGAGTAGCGGTATCGGTACCTTTTGTTCTCCCCAGGAGCAGCGCACTCAGACTCTTGCCCAGGGTCGCTTTTGCGTGCAGCCAGGACGAATCAGGAAGGATGAGTATGAGGAGGACGGAGGGCGACGGGAAGGGAGGGAGGGAGGGAGGGTTGAGGGTAAGGGGCACCACTCATCCTTCTGGTCCCAAAAGGTGTGCTTGATGTGCTGTAAGCCTAAGGACCGTAGCGGGCTCCGTCGATTGACTTCATGCCGCTCCAAATGTTTCAGGTTCAATCGGCCGACATTGTGCGTGTCTTAGGCTTGGTGGAAGGGAGAACAACAGGAGAGCCATGGGGTGCGAGGAGGGAGGGGGGCGGGGAGAAGTGGGAGAGGAGGGAATAGGAGGGAGAGGATTGGAGAGGATTGGAGAGGGTTGGAGAGGATTGGAGAGGATTGGAGATAGAGATGGGGGGAGGGAGGAGTGAGATGCCAGGGTTTAGCAGCGGGCGGAGCAGTCGATCGAAGATGCCACCGCGGCACTTCGGAGAGCTGCTTCGTTTTCTCAGGTTCTCGCCGTGGCCCCCGCGGAGGCTGGGCGCTCCCGCCTCGGGCGCGCCTCCGCCCAGGTTCTCCTCCTCCTCCTCCTCCTCCTCCTCCTCCTCCTCCTCCTCCCCCTCCTCCCCCTCCTCCCCCTCCACAATTACTCAATATGAATACTATTCTCCCTCTTCCCCTGATGACGGTTTCAAAGTGGCCGACCCCCCCCCGCGTATTGTTTTTTACACACAGGTTTCCCCGGAGTTGGGTTTTCGCTTGCATTTGTTTCAAAATGCTGCTCTCGCTGAGGCGCCGGCTTCATTTTCGGGCTCCGCTCGTTCCGAATCGTGCTCCCGCTGCAGCGCTGGCCTCATTTCCGTGCTTCCGCCCGTTCCGAATCGTGCTCCCGCTGCAGCGCTGGCCTCATTTCCGCGCTTCCGCTCGTTCCGAATCGTGCTCCCGCTGCAGCGCTGGCGTCATGTCCCGTGCAATGCCACGGCATGCAATGCAATGCTAAGTTGATACTACGCTTTGCGGTGCTCTTCTACGCCATGCCACGCCGTGCTCTACAATGCATCGCGTACCCTTTCGGGATCATTGCCCTGTTCGACATCCGACTGAGCGAGTAGAAAGGGGATCTGCGCCATGGTAAGGGAGGGGAGGGAGGGGTAGGATGTCACATGTGACGCGAGCGCACCTGGCTTGATATGGATACTATTCTCCTCCTAGCGCCGGCCTCATTTTCGGGCCACGCTCGTTCCGAATCGTGTTCCCGCTGCAGCGCTGGCCTCATTTCCGTGCTTCCGCCCGTTCCGAATCGTGCTCCCGCTGCAGCACTGGCCTCATTTCCGCGCCTCCGCTCGTTCCGAATCGTGTTCCCGCTGCAGCGCTGGCGTCATTTCCCGTGCCATGCCACGGCATGCAATGCAATGCTAGGTTGCGTTCCGCTGCGCGATGCCATGCCTTCAGCTGAAGCTGTGATATGCAGTGCTTAAGTGCCACGTCGTGCTACGCCATGCTACGCTTTGATCGTCAACGCCATGCTATGCAATGTTATGTTCGGGTCCGCTGTGCGATGCCATGCTTTGCGTTGCAAAGCTTTGCGATGCAATTCTTCACGACGCCACGCCACGCCATGCTGTGACATACTACGCTTTGCGGTGCTCTTCTACGCCATGCCATGCCGTGCTCTACAATGCATCGCGTACCCTTTCGGGATCATTGCCCTGCTCGACATCCGACTGTGCGAGTAGAGAGGGGATCTACGCCACCGTAAGGGATGGGAGGGAGGGGTAGGATGTCAGATATGACGCGAGCGCACCTAGCTTGCCCTCCTCCCCCTCCTCCCCCTCCCCCTCCCCCTCCTCCCCCTCCTCTCTTCTCTCCTCCTCCTCCTCCTCCTCCTCCTCCTCCTCCTCCTCCATCTGATTACATTGCCGCGGAGGTCGGGGCGGACGAAGGGGGGGTTTGGAACAGGGAGGGTGGCGGTGCAGGGAGGCCAGTTTTGTCGTTCTCGCGTGCTTGGCTGAGCTCGAGGGTAGCGCAAGGTATAGGCCCCGGCCAGCGCATCTCTTTTCCCTGGGAATGGTCATCGCCTGCTGCGAGTCACAGCCGTCCTTGGGAGGCCGGCGGAGAGCATTGGAAGAACGCGCAGGCACCCACTTACACCGACTAAGTAGACGTAAGACTGGCCCTTCGCCAGAATGACATTCGGTGCGGGCACAGTGGTGTCCCCCGATCGCCGACCGCGATGCGATAGCAGCGTCTTGCGCGCTTGTGTTTGGTCCCCCGCGGTCCCCAAAACGCTGCGCACCAAAGGTCACTCTTGCGTGTAGTCGATTACAGCGTGCAAGGACTGCACCCCGCTGCTGGAGGAGGGGGAGGGGGGGCACAGAAACTGCTGCGGGCAGCTCGCTTCGGCCACGCCGCCGGGCACCCTGTCGGACACACGGTCGCCTCCTGGCGCTGGGAGGCGCCAGGAGAAGCAGCTGCGTGCAGCCCGTGTGCTACCACCCGCGACTCTCCCCTTTTCCCATGGTCGTGGGAGTTCGTGGGGTTCGAGTAGGTTTGTATGCGAGAGATTGCAAACGCTTTTGTTTGAGCAGTTGCGTGCGGAACACTCTGCGGTTTCAAGGTCGGTGGGACGTACGCCAGGAACGTACGAGGAGGGCGTCGCGAAGCCACCACAAACAAACTCGCGTGAGCATTCCAGGAACTTCTAATTCCTTCTTGCTTGATTGGTTTGCATGCTCTTTTAAATTGTTGTCGCAGAGAGGGCCCCCCCCCGCGCCCCAGGGATCGTGTGGGGGGGCCTTCCGTCAGGCGTGCCCCCCCAGAGGGTGTCCTTCTGTCGCAGACGGGGGCGCATGAATCAGGAGGGGCAAAAACACACAGACACAATCAATCGTCGATTCCCCAGAAAATATGGGAAAATATGGGAAGTTGGGGGGAGACAGAAACCCAGAAGATATGGGAAAATATGGGGAATCCTGTGATTTGTGTGTATTTATTTTTGTGTCCCAGGGCCCCTTCAATGAAACCAGAACGGCTTTCATTATGCACGCTGGATTTCCACAGTGAGCTTTTGCTGCCTCGATGTGCCGCAGGGGTGACGCCACACTTGTCACGTGGCAGTGGGGTTCGTGGGAAACCCCGCCGATGCAGTCAGCATTCTACCTGCCAGTAGGTGCCCCGCGCAAGTGTTTTACCCCACGATGGCCTGGGGGACCCACACAACACCCGGAGGCACCCGAGGAGGTTTCAACATCTGCGAGAAATGTTCCTTCCGTTCTGCACGGCAGAATCTCCAATCGTACGGGCCCAGAGACAGCAACTTTGTCTCAGCGTGTCGCGCCGCTGATTCTGGCCCCCCACGTTTCGGCGCGACACGTTGTCCACGTCTCATTCCCCGCGTGTCAGCGTCCTGAGCCTTGCCCGATCCTCTCGCCCCGCGGAGCGGAGCGACGCTCCGTCCACTCGCAGAGCATGGCGGGTCGCAAAGGGCGGCCGCCGCGACACGCTAAACACAAGCTCCCGACCGTACAGGCAGAACGTATATTAAGGACGGGTGATAAGGACGCAAGCCCCTTGGAGGCCGAAGTTGGGTTTTTTAGGGCGGCGGGCGACCAGTGATAATGGCAAGGACGAGCCTCAGAGGCAAGGACACCAGGGTACCCTAGATGAAGGCGCGCGTCCTTACTAGGCGCGTTGACTGTATGCTATACAGTATGCGCCGTGCTGTAAGCGAGAGTATTTCGCCCTCGGTGATTTGTTCATCATGGCCCTCAGCAGTTGCCGGTGCGCTGCTCCCGTCGCCAGCCTCTCTCGTTCCCCGCTCGTTCGTGCTCGTCCTGCGCATGCAGAGTGACGATCGTGGGATAGTACTCCTCCGAATTGTGGGCTGGCTGCCAGTGTTTCCGCTGAGTAGCTCGAGCGGACCTGCACGCGGTGAGAGTTGCAGTGCGCGTCGATAAGATGGACGACGGGCTTACCAGCATGCGTGTTTTCCACACTGCTGATGAGAGATGGGTCATGAGAGATGGGTCATCCCTGATCGACTGCGACTCATCAGTGGGGTCATCAGTGGGGTCCGTCTTATGAGGGGTCTCATGAGCCATGATCCCTGATAATGAGAGGCCATCAGTAGAGGTCATGACCCATCTCTCTATGAGAGATGGCATGAATCATCAGACTGATCTCCCATCTCTCCTCGGGATCATCAGTGGGGCAGTGCTATCTCGTTATATGAGAGATGCTCATCATCAGTGCTGGATGCCATGGGAGGAGGAACGGAGGGACGGGGGGAGGTAAGCTTGGACGGAAGGCGATACGAGAAGGGGGAGGAGGTTGAGGAAGATAAGGGTGCTGGCTTACAGGAGGGATCTGAGTCAGAGAAGGCGGAGGAGGAGGAGGCGGGAGGATGAGGAGGATGAGGGAGATGTGGAGGAATACGTGGAGGAGGAGGAGGAGGAGGAGGAGGAGGAAGAAGAGGAGGAGTAGCAGGAGGATAACTTGATCTCCTGTGTGGTGCCTGGCCGCTTGCTCGTCTTCGCCCCCAGGTTCCAGACACTGACGGGCATCAAAGCACAGGCGGCCGCGTCGGTGGAGTCGCACAGCGTTGACGACTTCGAGTTCGAATTTCAGGAGGGTGATAATTTCGAAAGCGGGGTTCATCCGTCCTTCCTTCTGGCCGCGGCCCCTCTTCTTCCTTCTGGTCCTCCTGCTGGTCGTCCTCGCTGTCCACCTCTTTTCTCTCATCGTGTGTCTTTCCCTGCTCCTACTGCTTCAGCTGTCCGTCCTCTTTTCTCTCTGCTAGTCCTCTTCCTTGGCACCCGCGGCTGGCATGCGGGCTATGGCTACGAGCGGGCCCTCACCGCTGCCTGCGGCGCGTGCGGCCCCACGGGACTGGGCGGTCGCGTCAGCTCGCTCACGACAACGCCGTCTTTGTCGTCGGCGCATCGCGGGACGGCCTGCCTCCCCTTCGTCGATTCTTCCGCAGCCGCTGCCTGGCTGTCAGGAGGGGGCTGGAGTTGCACGCCATGCTGGAAGAGGTGGTGGGCGTGCACCACCACTGTCTTGGCGCGGCGCTCGCGGCCGCGCGGCCCAAGCTCGCGCCGAACGAGTGGAAGGAGGCCAGGCACATCAAGCGGGATCGCGACACCGCCGTGCACGGCCCCTTCCGCTCCATGCTGGAGGCTTCTCTCGGGATGCTGCTGCCGATGCCCTCTGGGCCAGGAGCCTGGCATTGTGCCCAGGTGGAGTGCCTCCTGGCAGCCCAGGCGCAACAGACCCACACGTACTTCGCGATCGAAGTTCCTGCCGCGAACTCCGTTAACCATGCTTACGCCCCTTTGGTGTCGGACCCCGCTGTCGTGCACGAGGAGGCGCAGGGCGATTTGCGATTCGTGAACTCTGAGTCGGTCGACGTGGTATCGGACGCGTCGGTCAGCGACGTCGTGGGCAGGCTGAGCTATGAAACGATCGAGGACACCAGGCGAGGCTTGGATGTGGTGGATTCGGCCGCCTCTATCTTCTCAGGTGCTTTCGAGACGGTCGGGGCCGCCAGTGCTCAGCCCGGCCCCGCTGCACGAGATCACCTGGAGAGCAGTGTTGGCTCCCAGACCCGCAGGAGTGGTGGGCCTGCCCGAGCCAGCAAGAGCAGCCTCGCGGCGTGGAGACTCCCGGGGGCGGGCGGCACGGCTGCGTCCTCGTCAGAGCAGCTGCCCCAGGCGGAGTGCGAGCAGGTGTGAGAGATCGCCGTCCTCCACGTTCTCCCCGTGCTCAGGGGAACAGAAAGTGACATAAACATGAAAACTCGGAGGTCCGCGTGGACCTCCGAGTATTTATGTTTATGTGACTTTTTCTTCCCCTAGTGCTGGGCCTTGCGGAGCCTGGATGCCGGCCGCGCCGCGGGTTGGGGCCTCGTCGTGTGCTGCTTTTTCCCCGCCTTGGTCTTCATCTTCGCCGCCGTCCTGGAGGAGTTCCGCGGGTGTCGTGTGTGTGTTGGCGTTGAGTGCAACCAAACTCCTCCTTCTCCGCTTGCCCTTTCTGGCGTGCTCCTTCTGACTCTTGGTTGGGTGGCGGTGCTCGAAGACGCGCGGTGGTGTCTTTGCGCTTTCTGCTTCTCTCGCTTGGGATGTTCTCTGAGGTCTGCGTAGCGTGTGCGGCACCTCCCGCCTCCGCCGCTGCTCCGCGCGCGGCGGCGCGCTCGCCGCGGCCCGAGTGTGAGTACGTTGCTGTTGGAGGGGCGGCCCTTCCTCCCGCGCCCTGCGCGCTCGACCTCGTTTGCCGTCTCTCTCTCTCTCTCTCTCTCCCGCGCTCTCTGCCCAAGACCCGGGGGCCTCGGAGCACGTTGTTGCACACCGGTTTTGGCGGTTCCCCAGAGTGTCCCCCCCCCACACACGAGACGCGTGAATGGGTGCACCAACGAGTGGTGCAGTGCCGCCATGTGAGCGCCTGTCGCTGGAGCCTGGAACCTCCCTTGGTGGGGCACGACGCGTGTGAAGGGTGTGCCAAGATGGTGCGGTGCCACCTCGCGGGCGCTGCCAGTGGGACCTTCGGTGGAACCCCCACACGGGGCCACGAAGCGTGTGATGGGGTGTAGTGTAATGGAGGATGACGATTAAGAAATGACCGGGGGTCGTGTTCACGCGGCGGCGCCCGGGATGACGATTAGAAAAAACCGGCCGCGGGCTGGACATGTTTTTTTAATATTATTATTTAAATCGTTTTCCTCCAGTCAGAAACTTATGCAGAAATTCGGGGGCGGAAAAGAGGGGGGTGATGACTAGGGGGGGTGGATATCATGGCGTGGGCCATGATATTTCCCCAGATTTCATGGCGCCTCTTCTTATTTCATTACGTCCCTGGCCCTCCCGCTGGGCCGCGCACGTGCCGCCGGTCATGATGTGCACCCCCCCCTCTTGGACACCCCCCTCTTGACCGCTCCCGAGAAATCGCAGAAAACTATTTTTTTGATCGTTCTCTCCTATTTTTTATCAATCGTCATCCCGCATTACCGGCATGTGAGCGGTGCCGCCGCGTGGGCGCTGGCAGTGGTGCCTTCGGTGGGGCTCCCTGTGGGGCCACGGGGTGTACGAGGGGCGTGCAGGAACTTGGCGTGCGGGGGGGAGAGGCGAGGACGGGAGGAGGGAGGAGGGGGAGGGCAGCGCAAGGAAGTGAGGACGCGGGGCGCTGTCGCTTCCAAACGAGTTCCCAACACCATAGGGGTTAAAGGATCGAGTCCCCCTCCCCCCCCGCATTTTTGAGAATTCATGCGTTCTGTTGGTGACGTTGGTCTTTCGTGTTGGTGGCGGATCGTCGGTGTCCCTGCCGTGATTGCGTTTTCTCCCCAACCATCCTGTGGTGTTGGGTCCTCGTTTTGTAGAGGCAGCGTCCCGTGTTTCTCCTCCTTACCTCCTCCCCCTTCGCCCTCCTCCCCCTCCTTGCCTCTGCCCTCGTCATCGCCATCATCATCATCATCATCATCATCATCATCATCATCATCATCATCATCATCATCATCATCATCATCATCATCATCATCATCATCATCATCATCATCATCATCATCATCATCATCCGTAGCCATTTTGGCTCAAGTTGGAACCATTGCTCCGTGGCTCCAGCTTGGGAGCAGCCGAGGAGCAGCTCGAGGGTCTCGGCAGACAGGCTGCCAGCGCTCTCGCCCACCAACCCACTGAGTGCATACCTTCTCTGCCCCTCCTCAGATCTGACCGCCATGGCGGTCGATATGGTTGCGATCCAAGCTATGTTTCAGGCCATGTTTGACACCCAGTTTGCCAAGATCGAGAAATCGATCGATGATAAGGTCGCGGGTCTTGCTGCCACTGTTGGAGTACAAGGCCAGATGATGAAAGAGATCACCGACCGCCTCGAGAAGTCAGAGAATCGTCTCAATGCCATGGAACAGGCGGCTCAGGTGAACGCTCGTTTGCCCCCTCTTGTTAACAGTCAAGGAGGTAAGCGCCGTGCAGTTGACAGCTCGATCGGTGACGGGTCCACCACAGGAGGGAGTGCAGGAGGAGGATCGTCTCTGGAGGATGCCCACCGTCTGCTCATCCTTGGGTTCCAGGATCGGTTGATGGCCACTTCTCTCGAGAGGGCTGCCAAGGACATCATCTCTAAGTGTGCGACAGAGCAGGCAGCCAGTCTCATTCGGATCCGTGCTTATGACCTCCAGAAGAAGGTTACCCTGGACTTCCCTACCCCGCCATGGCTTCGGACTTCCAGATGAATTTCAGGAAGCTGAGTGAGAGTTACACTATGGTTAACCCACGGAATCAGCAGGATGTTTGGCCCCTTCGTGTTCGTCGTAACCTGTCTCCTCAGCATCGGCTTCTCTTCTTCAAGATGGGGAAGGTGCGGGGTGCGGTCCAGGAAGAGCTCTCCAAGGTTGGGTTGCAGGCCAACTCTAATGGAATCGGCGGGGATGTCTTCGGCCTTCGCTCGCGTGAAGATCCAGTTCCTCTCTTCCGCCTCACCTGCTGCCCCCAGAACTCGGATGTGATCCATTTTCGCCCAGATGAAGCAGGTCTTAGTGCTCTTGGACTGAACGCTCCTGAGATCCGTGCGAAATTCGAGGCTGCGTTCGCTACTGAGCTCACGCGTCCCTTTTGAAGTTGAATCTGACAGGTTAGGTCGCCCTGGGGACCAAATTTTTCTGTTCCCCCCAGGGGCCACCAGGAACTTTTTGGCGGGTGCCCGTCGCGCCCGTGAAGGCAGGATTGAGTTTAATCTTTCCTCCAGTTTTGATGCCAGCAGCTCGAGCAGTTCCGGCTCCGACTCGAGCTCCTCTTCGCCCAGTGGGGGTCTGCCCGCTGAATCGTTGCTCCCCTTTTCCCCGCCTCCCTCTTGCTCTCTGTCTTTGCTCACATGGAACTCTGGGGGGCTCTTCGCTTCCATTCACCACTCCTCTCTGCGGGCCTCTCGTCGGTGCAAGCAGCTTCTGGGATTGACTCGGCGTTCCAGTATTTTGCGTGTGCAAGAGACCCGTGGCACAGCTGGTGATGCAGCAGCTCTCCAGGCAGACCTGCAAGGTTGGTCGATTGGATTCTCAGGGCATACCTCTGACATTGCTGGTGGTGTGATTACGCTGATCTCTCCTGCTCTCTGCGCTCTCTTCACGGACATTCGACACTTCAGTATTGATGAAGGCCGTATCCTGGTCTCTAAATGCAACGGTCGACGGGGTGCTCTCTGGGTCCTGAATGTACACCTGCCTACCTCGGGGGAGCCTATGTGGGCATGTCGGAGGTCTCTGAGGCTAATTCGGAACGCTCTGGGGACTCCTGACGCTCTGGTTATGATTGGCGGGGACTTCAAGTCCGCCCTTGAGGAGGATGGCCACCAATGCGGGGATGGATCAGGGTGGAGGCCTGGAGATCGATATAGGCATGATATGTTCCACTCTTTCTTCCCTCGTTGGACTGAGGTCCACCAGCCAGATCCTACCCGTCGTGAGATTGTCAGTGGGGAAATCTGCCACGTTCGCCGACTTGACCGCCTGTATCTTGCCTCTCATACTGCTGTTCTCTCTGATCTCTCCGTCGCGTGCTCGGTTATTGGCAAAGCCACGACTACGCAGAATGTCTCGGACCACATTCCTGTACTGGCCACGTTTC